ATCCTCCTCGGTCCTCGCGTGTAGCCCGCTGGACACTTTTTAAATGGACATATAATAAAAAATTTTAAATTTATTTCAATTCGATCCAACTTTATAGCCAGCTGGACATCTTAAGTTTACAATTGAATTGTTTTTTTTTTGTTTGTGGCAATACTGTCGTAATACGATCCAAGAAGTGAACAGTTATTTGAAAAAACGTGTGGTCCTTGTGAATGTAATTTCAAATTAATATTTTCGCTATATTTCTTCAAATCAAGTTTAATATTTTATTAAATTCAATCGGAAAATACTTGTTCTTTAAGGTAAATAAAAAATCTTTTAAATAAGTTTATTAAAATTCGGATATGAATACTGTTTCTTAAATGTTCAGTGGGCTGGACATTTGGTAGCTATCATGTCGAAAAAACGTTTTACGGAAGAAGAGGTGATGGAGATGCTCATGGACAGTGATTTTGAAGGTTTGTCCGACGATGAAGACTTGGAACTCGTTCCTAATTGTTCGAATGTGGCTTCTTCAAGTGATTCCGATTCTGACTACAATGCAGAATCTGATAATGAAGAAGAAAATATTGCTGAACAAGAGTTGGTTGATGCAAATGAAAGCCCCTCAAATCTTCAAAATAAAAAACCGCTCAAATGGCTAGCCAAAGAATTTGTCGTGGGTAATACTCCCGCTGCCGACGAGGCATGGAACGCAGAAGATAGATTTGAGTGGACACCTTTCCAATATTTCTCGGAGTATTTTGACGACGATTTTTGGCGCGAAATTTCACAACAAAGTAATACGTACGCTCTAGAAAACGGCCAAAATTTGTATTCAAACTATAATGAGTACAAGAAACTATCTGGGGCCCACATACTTGCTGGTTGCATGAAACTTCCGCGCGTAAGGATGTACTACCGACCTGCTATTAATGTTCCAGCCATTACACAGATACCAAGGGATCGATTTTTTAAATTAAGAAATTATATGCATTTTGTCGACAACTTAAGAGCTACACCACAAGAAAAAGAAAACAACAAATTGTGGAAAGTTGAACCAATAATAAAAGCCGTTTTGAAAAAATGTCAATTGCTACCAAAGCCAGCAAAACTGAGCATCGATGAACAAATGATTCCATTCTCTGGTACCACGCAATTGAAACAATATGTTAAGGGGAAACCCTGTCCTGTTGGTTTGAAAAATTTTGCAACCACGATTTAGGTATCGGAGGAACAGTAGTGCAAAGACTTGCAGAAAATATTAGTAAAGGCAGCGAAATATTTATTGACCGATATTTTACTTCGATAAAACTACTAGAGTTTTTGCTGGAAAATGGAATATATGCTACGGGCACGATTCAACAAAACCGAATCCCCAAAGAACTGCGAACAAAACTTTCAACCGACCATGATCTTCTAAAAAGAGGCAGAGGTACCTTCAATGAATTTGTGAGAGAAGATGAGAAACTAGCGATTGTAAAATGGATGGACAGTCGTTCGGTTCTAATGGCGGCCACGTCGACTGGAGCACGACCACTTATATCTGTTCGTCGATGGGATAAGAAAGCCAAAAATTACATAAATGTCAATTGTCCCCGTATTCGTAGCAAGTTACAACACGTCAATGGGAGGCGTAGATCTTGCGGACAGGTTGATATCCTATTACCGTATTAACATCAGAACAAAGAAGTGGCCCACACGAGTTTTTTGGCATATGGTTGATCTCGCACTGTGTAATTCCTGGGTTCTTTATAAAAAAGACAAATTTTCCTGTGGTGCAAGGAGGTGCGAGTTGATGGACCTATTAGATTTTAAGATGTACGTAGGAGAATGTTTGTCCGCATGTGCTGGTAAAAGAAGGCTAAGTGACATCGAAATCGAAGACGATGTCTCAACAAAAAGAGTTAGGTCCATACAGCCCCTACCCCCAAAAGATGTGAGAAGGACTGAAAATAGACACTTACCCATCTGTGGTGTCCAGGATAAAAACAAATTTATGAGATGCCGTAAAGAAGGATGTAACCAAAAAACCAGATTCAAATGCGTTTCTTGTAATGTGTTTTTGTGCATTGCCAGCGATAGACACTGTTTTATGGAATTCCCTTCGTAAGAAATTAGTACTAAGTTAACCGTTTATTGAAATTAACTGAATGTTTTAAAATACTCTTAATTTAAAAATTAGTTGCTTTTTCGTTGGCATACGATCCAAATGTCCAGCTGGCTGCACCTGCCAGTGCTAAGAATCCTTATATGCTACAATAAAAAAAATGGGTTTTCTAATTATTTGGAAAGAATATAACGCAAAAACATGATTTTTTTTTAGTTTTTCAATTTTTTTAGTCTCGGGACTGAGGAGGATATGGGTGTTTCCATCGGAAGGTCCACCACGACATAAAAAAATAAAAATCTTATATCTAACGTATTTACGGGCCAATTTGTCTGAAATCTTCGGTTCCGGAGTGGAACCGGAATCGATTTTTCCATCCCTACTCCGTGTAACTTATAAACTAGGTTCACATATCAATATTATCTCAATCAAAGCTCGTTTTTTAATCACCCCGTTTACGCAGGCAAATCTCAGATTATGAGCCGTCAAATTTGTTGTGCTTGTTATTCTCACATCTCAAGGAAAATTTATGTTTCTTCTCTGTGCTACCATGATCACGTTTTTCTGCTATAATAAGCAATATAAATATATTTTAACTTAACATTTTAATAAAAATACCTTTACAAACCTCTTTTACTTGCTAGCGTACATTTTTGTTTACTCTTACATTTGGCATTTCTCCTCTCTTTCGCAAAAACAATCGATAAAACTAGGATGGACACCGAAAAGTTATCGGTTAAATCTGAGATTATTTTATAATTACAGATTAACAAGGGACGAATTTTATATGGCTAATCTCTTGTTATAATTACAGATTAAGGTGTTAAGCTCGAAAATGAGGATAATGGCGGTTTAGGGCCATTCACATACAACTTTCCTCGCTTTGCTTGACAGTTCAAACTTTGACAACAAAGCGTGAAACGCAGAAGGTATCATGAACCAAAAATACAAGATCACTTAAGAACGCGACGTTGTATTTGTAACTGGTTTTGAGAAAAAGTTTGCGAAAGCGGGTTCGTCAGCTGAGCGTTTGTTTACATCACAAGCACCACTATTTTACACTTTTATTCAAGTAAAGAAGAGTTAGTTCAACATGACAACACATTTTAAAGCATTTTGTTGCATCATTTTACCTAAATTGTGCGTTTAAAGTGGCTGACAATAATTTTGGCTAATTTTGGTTTTCGTTGTTTTCTTTGCTTTGTTTACTTTTCGCTCGTTTTCCAGTGAAACAAGATGGCGTAGAACCCGCTAAAAAAATCGACTTTTTTCACTCTCTTGTTCTTACGTGATCTTGTGTCTTTCGTTCATGAGAAGGTATGCTACAATAAACGCTTTGACAGCATTTGCGTTCTCCTTTTCCTCCATATATTTTATCTGTAAAATAGATAACAATACAATAATATGCATTAATAATAGCAATAAAAATTCCTATTTACCCTATTTTTGTCATTAAATGCAAATGCAAGGGCACGAGAAAATATACATGTAGACAGCTGATTGCCAAAGCGGGCAAAAGTTGAGAGTTGCCCAAGATTTTGCTTCGTTTTGCTTTGCTTCAAACGTTTTTTATGTGAGCATACTCATGCATATGCCTACATCGATCTTATATGTCAAAGCAAAGAACTATCAAGCAAAGCGAAGAAATTTTTATGTGAATCAGCCCTTTTTCAGGCAACTTTTGCGTTCAACTCACGCAGGGTTTCACGAAAAAAATTTAATGGCTAAAAATGTCAAAATATAAAATATCAACATATTCGCCATAAAAAGCCGTTTGCATTGTTCAACTTTGCATTCTACTTCTGCTTGAACTGCCTTTCAACAAAGCTGGTCGCCAGTCAACATTTAGCCATTCTCTTTTTTTTTGTGCAACCCTGCGTGAGTTGAACGGAAAATCGCCTCGTGCGAACACCTTTTTACGTAAACTTTGAAACTTTTATAAATAATGCGGGAAATCTGAAACTTCTAAATGTAGACGAAAATGAGTATGATGACAATGATTACGAAACTGAAATATTTTAATAGATTATAACATTAAGACAGTTGTTTTATTTCACTGTTGGCAGTTGTACTTTACCCAACTATATAAAATGATACGTACAATTTTTGTGCTCTTTCTGATAAGCGTATCTTATACGAAAAAAAATACATTTTTATAAAAAATATGCATAGATAAAGATGAAAGGTCCTTCAATCGCCTTTCAAACTGTGTCCATATTTTAAAAATCGGTTCAATAGTTTTCGAAATCTAAGCTTTCGAAAATGTTGAAAATTCCACGTTAAGCCCCCCTTAGCGCCACCCCTGAAAATTTGCAAAAAAATATATGCCATTGAAATAAGGAAAAGGGGCGGTCCACGCCCGCTTTTTTTTAGCTCATCGGCCCCTATTCCAGTTATTTTTTAAACGTTTAACGTAATGATGGCTAAAGCTGCCTTTACATGAGGCGATTTTGTGACAGGCGATAATCGCCTGCGAAAGTTGAGTTGCTGTCAACCTTGAGGCAAGCGATTTTTGAATCACTATTTACACGAGCGATTTTTCTGGAGCAATGTTGAATCGCATAGAAAATCTCATGTATGTAAATCCAGCTTTAGGAACCAACGTTAAAAGTGAACGAATATTAAAGAACACGACGAACTATCGGTTGCAATACAAAAATATTTATAGTTGCGTTCCAGGTGCTCAAGATATTCACGATTAGCAGGTTTTTTTTGCGCGTCCCAGGTGCCAAAAAACGTGTAAGTCAAACCAATTTTGTGAGTGACTTGCTCTCTCTCTATGAGAAGTTGCAGGTTTCAGTCCGAAATTTTCTCCCTGCATAAAATAAAAATAAATAAATTTGAACTAAAAAAACAAAAGCTTTTCTTAAGCTTTTCTATTCTTTATTTTCTCCGACGCAAATTTACTGCATTACTTTTAGAGGCTTTTATATTTTTATATTTTTTTTAATATAAACATGTTGCTCTTGCCAGCTGCAATAGCTTCAATACACTAACAAAAGTGTAAATACCCAGTTGCCCAGCTTAGAAGAAGAATCCTAGCATTTTGCCTCCCAAATGTTTCCGTCTGGCCTCCTCATGATCCATAATGCCTCCGGAGGTAGTCAACACAACGTAACCAAATTGACGAGAAGGCAGCAAGTTGTTGGTCCACTTCTCAATATCGTTGATGGGTACATCGAAACGAGGTGAAATGACACCGCATTTGTTCAAACGACCGGTCAAGTTTACCACAATTTTGCCGGAACGATGATCATCGACAATTTCGAATTCGCCAATGTAGCCGTGCTTCATCATGACGGTGAGGAATTTGACAATCACTTTGGAGCAGGGACGCAAGAGAACCTGGCGCTTGCCACGCTTCTCGGCGTTGTTAATGCATTTTAAGGCATCAGCCAATACGTTCATTCGCACCATGGCTGAAAACGAAGAAAAAACAAGTATATGTTAATTTAAATGCAAACTAATGAAGTTTAATTTTTGGGTAAATTTCAAAGTGATGTGGACGCAGGCCGAAGACGTTTAGTACATGGGAAAATACATTAATTAGATGTTATGTATCATATGCCCACTCCGTAAAATCATAACAATTTCCATAAACCCCGCAGTAGCAACATGCGTTCCATCATTTGCTAAAATTTTCACTTTGGAACCGGCATTTAGAAATCGAGTTTTTTCAGTCTAAATTTTCAGGTATGTAAAAAAATGAAATACTCTGAAATCTCAATAGCACGCTTGCAGTTGTAAATAAACTTATTTATATTGGATCAGTATATCATCGGCGTCACAAATATAGCTGCAGTAAACTCAAGCCATTAACCAGTACATTTATTCCATTCCAAAGATTCGTATATATATACCAATTGACGAAGATTTTCAGGAATATGAGCATATATACAGTCAATATACACTTTTCCACAACACTTTCCCCAAGTTTATGTTGGGTTTTAAGTAATTTTTCACTAAGATTACCTAAGATTTAATTTGCTGAATTTTTTGGCAAATTCACCCGAACGCGAACGTATCGAAAAAGAGGAAGTCCATATTGCCCAAGTTGCCATTTCTGTTTTTGACAGCTGTCAAGCATTTAGGGGTTGCCAGAGGTTATATTTACTGCAGGGTGCACATATTTCAAATAACAAGAGAACTTTAAAATATTTAGGTGTTATTTATAAATGTATGATCTGATTGCATATTTTAGTAAATAGCAGACATTAATTACTTCAAAACTGTGAGCAATTCCCGATTTAACCAACCAACGTTAGCACCGATTTAACCAACACAACAACAACAGCACCCCATTAGTAAAATATTAAGACTATCGATAGTTCGTTGATTGTTCTTCAATGTTGGTCCATTTTTTAATGTTTGTTCGTTATGGGCTGTTTTTGCTTATGCAGCGGTTTTGCTGCATTTAAAATGCAACATTTAGCACTTTCGAACATATGTTTTCGAAGAGCGTTCATGCTACCGCATTTAGCAAATGTACATTTACGCGAGTTCGAAATCGTATGCTTTTGACAAACAGCCGTGTTCCAGTCGCTTATTCAGATCCGTATCTATTACGATCAATTCTCACGCAGAAGATAATGTGCAAAAACCCTACTGAAAAGGAAAAAATAAATTTTAAACCAAAACTTCAATACAAAAATTTGAATTGTTTTAACCATGACCGACCATTTGTTTTTGTTTTATTCATTTGTCGGTGCTGTCAATTAAAATTTCTTCACTTAATTAGGAAATAAAACAAACAGAAT